AACAAAGACTTCGAGATACCCGCGACACGATTCATAAGTCTCTCAAATTCTGCCTGGTATGCACTCACCGATCCACGTTGAATGAGTTTTGAAAGTGCCCCCTGATAATCCTCAAACTGAGACGGGCCGAACCACTCCGAGGCCATTCCTTCAAGATGGAACGCCACAATCTGAATCCGTTGATCTTCTGCGGTACCGACGAAGTAATATTGTTGAATACGGAAAATCCATGTGAAGGGATCAGTGCCATCGAAACGAGGAACGTCGAGTTGCAACGATCTGTTGGTGTCGTGAGCATTGGTTGAGAGCGGCCGGGATGGATGGTGTGTTGACAGAGGCATGGGCAACCTGCTGGAAGAACCGCTGCTGGTGGTTTCTAGTTCCTTACCACGGACTTGAGATTGTAGTTGACCGATCTGTTGTTGCATGGCATCAATCGACGCTTTCTGAGATGCGTATTGGTCCTGCATGGACTGTATCTGCACATTGAGCGAATCAAATTGCTGTTTCATAGCAGCCATAAAATTTTCTTGCATGGTTTGAAGGATTTTGGTTTGATCAAACATGGTTTCGGATGTTCAGGTTTACGCCCTCTCAATGAGAGCACCAATTTGATACGTCTCCATATCAGTTTTGCACAACTTTGAGCGCGTGTGGACTCCGGGAGAAGAAGAATAGATGGGAAGGGACGAACAACGAATGAAAGAGGGAAGGAGATTATTATTATTATGCTAACTTGATCTTCCAATACAATCATAGCTATTTAAATACTTCCACAAAGCATCCTTCCTTAATTAACTCACTGGTAATAAAAGTAAATCTCTCCTAAAATGTTTCTAACGACTCTATGATTGACAAGGGAATCTTCATTGCTCCTGATTATTAGCTAGCCATCCATGCATAGTCCATTCAGTCATAAATATAATTTCCATCCATCCATTTCGCTGGTTTCCTTATGCGGCCTGAGCGTCTGACTTGGGGATCTTCTTGTTGATTGAGTTCCTGAATGATTGATGTATCAGTTTTATAAATGTTTAAACGAATGTTTCATGAAGTTAACGAACGAAATGCCAACAATAGGGGCACCCGTCTAAATCAAAATCAATTTTTTTGGAGTGATTTGATTTAATGGATCTGCTCCTCACAGATGAGCGCCTCACAAGCACATCCACCTTTGCATTGGGAACATTTCCCATGAATAATAACTTCTAAGTACGGGAGATGTTCCCAATGCATGGTAGGATGTGCGTATAAGATCGGTGTGAGGCGCATTATGTGAGGAGCAGATTCAGTCTCGTTGAATTGAACCAGAGTACCCATTGGATTGGGTTGGATTGAACCAATATCCAGCCCATTGGTAGAAGATAAAAATACAGGTGTTAATGGACCAGATTTTGGCTGGAACCAATCTAAATTAAACTGAACTTGAACAAACTGGATGGTCCAAACATTGATTTGAATTGGTCCAAAATGGTCCAGAGTATTCACCAGATTGAATTGGACCAGGTCCATCTACAATGATTTCATATTGGACCAGATCAGATTGGACCAAATCCAATGCAATTGACACCCCTAACCTCAATTATCTTCAATACTCGGTACATTCTAGACTAAACCTATGCAAGAAAGGGACATTTTGGTAATTGACCAAACGGTGCAGGAGAATGCCATCTCCATGAACTTTCCTCTTCAAAATCTACTTATTGCTTGTGTCGTCTACTGATACTGGATGGTGGTGAATGATTGTGAGTTGTGACAAACTAATAAGAAGGTATTTTGATACTCTTCTAGAAGAAACCATAACCCAATCTAAGTCCTGTTTTCTATAATGTTGGCTTAAATTGGAAATATATCATGATGATGCAGCCATGTAGGGCGTGTTTGGCAACTTTGAAAAAATTGGGCTCTGTACCTCAAGAACTACTTTTTTGTTTTAAAAAATGACTGGAGTCTGCAGAATTTTCAATTTTTCCATTCAACATCCTGTGATTAGTTAAAAAAAAGGATTTTTTTTTCTGAAAAAGTAAGCATCCTTTGTGATTTTAGAACTGTAAGGCATAAAGAATGATCAAAATATCAAAATGTATTAATACCATACATATTTATTTTTGAGATATAATATAAAGGTTTTCTTGGTTTCAATTGTTCTAAAAGTAACATTACATGATATGAGATTTAAAGGGGGTGTTTGAGAACATGGTTGGTTCTTTTTTTTTTTAAAAACAAAAACAACTATTATATCAGTAAAATTATTTTGTATTTATAGACCATGGTTTTTAAAATCAACCTGATGATCGAACTAGACAGGGGTCCAGTTACCGGTTCGAACCCGAACGATCGGCCCATTCTGACAAAAAAATTAAAAAATTAAAAAATTGAAAAACAGTCAAAACCGTTCAAACGGTTTGAATGATTAACTGGCCGGTTCAACGGTTTATTGACCAAAATCAATGACTTTTGGGGAAAAAGCGGTTTAGGGAAAAAACAGAACCGGTTCCTAGCTTTTCCAGTCCGGCCATCCGGTCCCCAGTTTTGAAAACCATGTTATAGACCCCTTCCGTTACTTTTTAGTGGACAGTAGCCTTAAATAACTATTATGCCCATACTAATTTCTCCAATGTAGATTTTTTTTTTCTAATTTCAATTTTACCCTTGAATATTTAATATGAGTAAATATGTTTTAGTATTTCATTTTTTACCACATAAACAAACCCATTTTCGGGTAAAGAGAGGTTTAAGAGTTTTTTTTAAGGTTTAAAAGTATTTTAGTCTATATGAGGGTATAATTGGCATTATAACATGTTTAGGTTCTTGACATCAGCAGTTGCAGTTAGATTTTTGACGGTGAAGTAACAGGAGTCTATAAGTCCCTTTATCCCCAAAAGTCAGGGTAGGTAGGTTTGAGTGCAGGTCATAGTTGAGGGAAGTTTTCTATCAAACAAACCAAGATAGCTTTAAGGGACTTACCCTACTTTTTATGCAAATGCTAGAGTAAATCTCATTATACACAATGGTGCAAACAGCAAATCTGGGCTTATGATCTTACCCAAAAAAAAAAAAAAAAAAATTCTGGGCTTATGAATTTCATAGTTTGACATCACCCGACTCACTTCCCTCTCTATAAGATTTATGCTTCTCCTACATTGCAGTGCTTTTCTGTAATAGGTTCATCTATTGGCCCAGTTAGGAAGGAGTGTAAAAACAAATATGTAAATTAGGAAACCTTGTATTTTGTATTATTTTATATGTATTTATACAATACATATTTGTATTGTACTCTATCCAAACTGAGCCATTAGAATTTAGAAATGGTTTGTTTTTGGATGCCACTCTTCTAAATAGTAAATATAACCATGGTAATAACTAAGGGGATGTTTGGAACCGTGGCCGTTTTTCAAAAAAATGGTGCCACGTCGGATCCACATAAGCGTTTCAACAAATACCCATGTATCTCATTGTTTGGTTCAGCCGATTATTAAAAAATCAGGCATGCCTCGAAAATCGGGACCCCACCAATGCATGAAAACCATTTCCCCCAACGGTTGATTGATGTGTATCCTATGTGGTGCTTATCTGTTAGCACATAAATGAAAAACGGTGATGAAAATCATCTTACCAAACAGCATAGTGTTGGAAGCATGAACATTTTTTGTGAAAAACAGGTCTTGGAAGCATGAACATTTTTTCTTGAAAATTGGTCCCAAAAAACACCCACACTTCCAAACACCATGTAAAATGATGAAACTTTGTCCCTCTATTCTCTTTTGTTTGAAAGTTTGTTCTCTTTATTCAAGGCATCACAAATGACTCCAGTTTTCCGAGACATATCATCTTGGCAATGAGTGTCAACGAGTCAGGCTCTCTCTTACACCAAGACATGAAAACGGTTTCCAGCCACCAGTGTGGCCCGAAGAAATATGAAGCAATTGACTTTCATTAGTTCTTCTATAGAAGGGATCTAATAAAAGCTCGTTTAGAACCCATTTGAGAGGGCTACAGTTTTTATAATTGATTGAGCTGTATTGACTTAGCCGCAAAATATTTACCACCTGAACCAACATTATTCATGGGAGATGTTCCCAATGCACGGTGAGATGTGCATGTGAGGTGGTCGGTGTGAGGCGCCCTGTGTGTGGAGCAGATCCCAATTCCTGCGTGAAAGCCCTCCCAAACGAGCATTCAATGAAACTTGAATTTCTGACGACCCTAAATTTTAAAATATATAAAGCGAATGATTTCTATAGAAGGGATTTCCTTGCCTTGGGCATAGGCCACGCCATAGTAGGTGAAGCAAGCAATTCATCACCGGTTTTCCTATCCTCAATAATCAGTAATCAGCATTGTATTTATTGCAGAGTAAAGTCATTTCCTACCCAAGAGTAGCACCAGCCAGGGCTGCGAACGCACTGGGCCGGCAACCACTAAGTAAAGTTAGATCCACTCCGATCTCTGATAGAAACCATTCGTGGAAAGTGAAAATCAGGCTCTACACAATGGACACACCAAATCAGAGATTCAGAACTCAGAAGCAAGCACATCGGTGAACCACCATCTGACGCGAGTTTTTATTCATAAGATTTCGTCTGTCTCGACTCCAGGACCCCAGGTTCAGCGGTGGTGTGGAACGGTGGATGAAGAGCGAGGACATCTCCCGTCCAAGCAGCACGGCTGATCTGGGCATCAGGTTTCCGTGTGCTCGAACCTGATCTTGCCATCATCCATTAAAAAGGACACAAGGGAGAAAATAGAAAACACCTCAGAAGTATATGCAATAAAGTAGAAAGATGGTTCCACCATGAGTATGCATACTTTGCCCGTAGAGAAATCCCTTCATCTCCACAAAACGTGGGCCTGATCTTGTACGTTGCACATGGTCATACTTAACGACGAATTTATTCTTTCGAATCCACTAGAACAAATTAAAGGCCCAAACTTCAACAAAGCCTCGGGCTAAATTTTATGATGAACAAATCCTTCACAATCTTCTCGAGTTGGAAAAATGCCTAAACAAACACATTGATATTTATTTAGTATATATTTTCTCTGCAATCTAGTGGAACAAAAAACGCCGAGAAATCATTTGGAGTGAACAAAATGAAAAGAAATAAGGCACCACCAATCTAATCAACCTCAAAATTACAATGAAATGTCCTGATGAAAAGCAATTAAAAACAAAATATGCAAAAGAAAAGAAATAATGGAACACAAATTACACAACTCAAATGGCAATGCCCACTTTGGTGGGGGAGAAGATTGCAGAACCAGATTTGCCACCCTGAAGTTGCGAAAACATTGGTGGATCAAGCTGTAAACTGGATAGCTCTTATGAACACTAGTGAGAATCTGCATTCATGATGTCATTAACTATATTTGTTGTTTCAATGCCTCCAACAGCTTCAGCTTTGATTCACATATTTTAAGAAACTCAGAAAGTACTGTACATTGGCCAGTTATTATTTTCCTTGCAACATCAACCGGACTCCATGATTGCAATGCCTGGCAAATCCGATCACCAACTTCAAGGTTACCTGCAGAAGAAGCCAAAGACTCTAGAATCTGGAAAACCAGCCCAGGTCCTTCACCAAGTCCTTTTCTCTGGAGAGGAGATAACAGAGTATCCAGATTTTCATCCTCTTGCCTGTGTATTTGCTCCTTCAACCATGTTGTGACCTCCTGTATTGCATCATGCAATGATAGAATCGAACTATGTATTGCCTGACACATTGGAGAGTTTACCTGATCTGCAGGACCACTTTTCTTCTTTTTCTTGCCAGATGGGAGCATGGATCGAACACAAGATTGAATTACAAGACTGTACCAAGTCAGTGGTTCTGTTACCATCTGTACCAAAATTGGTAAATCAACTCCAGGAGATTTTCTAACTGGTTGCATCATTCTCAGCCCCTCGAGGATATATTTCTGAACCAGGTTATTGACTAGGTGCCATGAACTTGGCAAGGATCTCTCTCCAACTAGCACCTCAAGCTCTTGGGAGCTTAAGTTCCATGCATGCAAAAACACCGCAAAGTTCATCCACTCAACCACGTCCAAACTAAATGCCTGTCTCAGATTACACCAGTATAAAAGTAAATGTTTGTTAAATGAGAATCTAGATCATTGCTCTGAAAGCATTTTACTACCAAATGATCTACTAAAGCACATTCTGTAAATAAGAACCAAGCAAAGAATAAAATATCAATAAATTCACAAACCAAATTCCATAAAAATTAATAAAGAATGGGAAAGACAAAAACTTGGAAATCCATCAGAAAGCAACTCAGAAATTAAGAAAATATGGAAGAACAAGGTGCCAAAATTTCTCAAAGCTTTGACATACATGCAACTAAACAGTGTTCAATCAATTAAAAAATTATGTTATTATATTATCAATTTAGAGAGCAACTGTAAAATTAAAAACAGATTAGTTAAAACATGTTTTAAAATGCAGATGTGTGACGCGAGGCATTCCACTACCTAGAGGTGTGAGGCGTAGATCAGGACGTAAGAGGCTTAGCACTAGTTGAAAGGGGGGGTCTTGTCAAAGCGTAGGCGAGTGAGTGAGCCGGGGCGGGACTAAGTCCACGAATAAGCTTAAAAATTATCAGAAAACATCCCCTAAAGAAGCAGGTGGAAAGAAGAGCTCTCATCCTGAGTCCCATCTCCACTGGCCCTGTAAAAGCTTCCCAAGCATTGGCCTTGGATTCCATCTAAATGAGTTTATCACTTTAGAAGCTAAAGCCCTAACCTCTGCAATGTGATTCCAATGTGTCCAGATGTGTTAGAATTTGGAATCATTATGCATCTATCCTATAACAATCTGTCATAATGAATCTATCAAATCTTATGCATAGAAACATCCAGCAAAAGGCTTAACCATTTGATACAAGGTAGGTCGATGTCATGTAGCCAAAGTAGGATAAAAAAAGCATTGAAACAGCTCCACGTTTTATCGAGAGAAAAGAAAGCATTTCCCATAACTATCATCGTTACTATTGCCCAGTAAAACCAAAGCCCACCTGTAATGTTGGCACTCCCATAGAGTTGTCAACAGTATTCCATTGTCAAAGCCTGAGACTAAGATCTGATTCAGTTAAATCAGATTAGGATATCAAGTATCAGATCTGTCTTTAATCACATCAGACAAGGATTTCCCCAATCCAATGTTTTTAAAATCGTGTGATTCATATCGAATCGGCCCCAAAACGATTCAAATCGTATGTCCTAATTATTTTTTAAATTAATCGTGCGATTTATGTTCAAATCGTTGTATAAAATCGTAAATCACGATTCAGAACCGATTTTAACAATTAGAACCAAAACATAATTTAAGATAAAAAGACTATTTAGTCCTCTACTCTTTTAAAAGCTACACATTTACATCAAGGGGCAGCATTATCATTTTGTTTTTATTAACTTAAATAGCCTCTTTAATCAATCAAAAGATGCTTACTACTTTCAAAGGAAATTCTTGGGCGGAAGACTGGAAGAGACGAAACCCTCAATTGAAGCTCCAACCCTCATCCCCTTGTTTGCATAAAGGTAAGGCGTTCTCTTTTTTTTTTTTTTTTTAATTTCTTCTTCTTCTTCTTCTTCTTCTTCTTCTTCTTCTTCTTCTTTCGACACAACGGGCTCTCTGCTCCATTTCTTTCTTCTTCTTCTTTTGACGCAAAACAGGGGCTCTGCCCCATTTCTTTCATTCTTCTGGTCCTTTTGCATGGAAGGTTTTTTTTCCTGATTTCTATTATTTTCTTAGTTGTAAATGAAACGGGTAAGGTCCAAACCCTTCTTATTTTGACGCAAAACATTTCTTCTATTCTGTTTTTGCATGAATTTTTTGCAATGAAAACAGGGGCTCCGCCCAATTGCATTTTCCTCTTTTTTTTGCTTCATTTTTTTCCTTTTTCTTTTGTACACAAACACAGGGGCTTCAACCCTCTTATACTTTTCTCTTTTTCTGATGCAAAACAAGGTCTCACCCCCATTTTTCTCCATCTTATTTTTGACCCATGTTATGTTTTAACTATTTCATAAGACTTGATTTTATCTATGTGTCATATTTTAATTTTTAAGTTGTGTTCTTCTTGTTAGGTGTCCTTTTGTTTACAAATGGTTGGAGGCAACGAAAGAATAGGGCATCTTTGCTGAACACTGAAGAACTATATATTCCTTATTGATCAGTGAGATTTCTTTGTTAGCATCAGTGTATAAGTCTTTATTTATGTTGGTTTAGTGGATATGGTTAGGCTTATGATTTGGCTATATTTGTAATTTATTATACTTGTCCACATAGCATCTCTTTGGTTGCTTAGCTGTTTATGTCAATGGATGTTCTTATGAGTTATGTCCAATTATGCAATGGTATTAATTACCAAAAAAAAAATTAGATTTCAGAATTTAATTTCTTTAATTGCATTGTTTCACTATTGTATTCTTGTATTGATGATTTGGCTTAAATTATTGAAACTTGAAAGACATGAACATGAACATGATGTCATGTAAAGCTCATATTTATATAATAGTATGATCATATCAAATAGCAATGCAATTAAGGATATAATTGTTTATTGCTTAAAATTGAAGTTGAACTTGATCATACCCATGGCATCTATTGAATTATGATTTATGAAAGTGGTTTAAATGTCACACTCACTACCAGTCTACTACTATAGTACTACTACTACCTATTTATGTTATGTCTATAAGCTAAAAATTAGTACAAAGTCATTCATTTTCATAATTTTGAAGGGGTTCAGGTATTTTTATAGTTTTTTTGACAATTTTTAGAAAAATCAGAAAAAATCTTACAATTTACGATACGACTACGCTTTTCAGAACATTGCCCCAATCCCATCAGATTATATATGCATACCTTTAAATAATTAATATATATTTTGGCAAAAGTAGTTTAACTATTGTAAGTGCATAAAGGGTCATATACTCAAATAATCAATAACATTTATTTTTTAGCTTATTTTTATTAATGACATGATATCTAAATCCCATCCATGACCAATCTGAATCCAATACATTGACAGCTCTATGGACCCAACAGCCAACACTCCCAGTAGAAAGAAAGTGGAGGATTTCAACGTGAAGCTGACCAGCACTCAGAACTATTATGAGATGCGTCCGAACATTCCATGAGGCTCAAACAACTCCTTCAAAACCTCAAATCCCATCCATGACCAATCTGAATCCAATACATTGACAGCTCTATGGACCCAACAGCCAACACTCCCAGTAGAAAGCCAATAGAAAGAAAGTGGAAGATTTCAACGTGAAGCTGACCAGCACTCAGAACTATTATGAGATGCGTCCGAACATTCCATGAGGCTCAAACAACTCCTTCAAAACCTCAATACTCCAAAACTTGCCTCAACTTTAGGCAAGTTTTTATGTCATTTAGTTTACTTTGATTCGTGTAGTGGAGAACTGAGTGGTTTTGCGTATGTTATTAATATTAGCATCAGACTCGTCAAAGTCAACTACTATTAGTTTTAAGCTAATTAGGAGCTGCACTTTCTTATTTGTTTGAATCACTACAAGTTCTGAAAAAGCTGGTTATTCAACGCTACATTATGGTAATCAGATAAACTTTTCAGAAAGTAAAACTGAAATTTCTTTCATATTGCAATTAGGGGGATCCTGTTGGGACCCGTCCACCCCATCCAGAGGGAGGCCCAAGATTCACATCCACCTATCTCTTACCTATTCAATACAAGGAAGAACCGCTTGACGCCCACACAAGATTCCCTGTCAGAAGTCATTGCTGCAGCTTCTGAAGTTACTTATACACTCATATAATATCTGAGCGTACTATATAAAGGCCAGATAAGGGATTTGCATTAGGGCATCGAGTAATCAGACCTATCTTCAGCCTCTCTCCTCTCTCTTCCCTCAACCTTCGTTTCAGGAGGACATGTATCCCTTGAAAAGGCTCCTGTGATGAGCAGTTCTCACCAGATCCATAGGTCAATTTGATTGTCAATGCCCAAGGAAATGATGCCCAGAACCTTAAACAGTAAGTGATATCTGTAAACCTCCTATTTCCGAGTCTACCATCTAGATATATGCTTTAATTGCTAAAAATTAAGCTTCTGCACTTTAGTTTCAAAACACAGGCATCCTATCATAGAGTTTTTTTCTATTTTCCATCCAAACACCCATTGGCCAAAGTTGGGTGATTTCTGTTTTATGTTCTGAGTATAGAACMCTCTACTTTTGCACATCCAGCCCTCAAATCTCAATCCAGCTTTGAATTGCCCTTACACAAAATATTTGACAGACCATTAGCTGGCTTGCTAAACTGGGGTGTTCTAATTCCAATCCCTTCAGTCATACCCTACCCTATCCAATGACCCACCTTACTTGTAGCTCTTCATAGATATCATTTACCATTGCTAAACTGTCAAATCAATGTGGATCTACCTGCATTTAACCAAAACCATATAATCTTGGCATGACACCAATGAAGGTGTCCCTAGAGAGTAAAACAGGCCAATGCTGCACTTTCGAATCTAACATGGGTTTCCACCCACATTTAGCCAAAACCAAAGAATCTTGGCATGACACCTGTAAGGGTTTCTCACTAGAGTGCATAGGTCACATAATCAATCTTTTCCAGCTCTAATGCCTGACTCACCAGCAAATGAAATGAAGTAAAATAAAATAAAGACCCTTACAAAACAAGATTGAATGTGGTGCCATAGATAGAAGAATGACTAGAATAGCAAGAAGACACAGATTTCATACCTCAAAACAATGTTGGCCATTTGAAACTTCAACAATCCTATCCACTGCACCAGTGAAAGAGTGGCCAAGACTTTTTGCACAGCGTTCAAGCAAACACTTCAGCTCTAAGGAGCTATTAGTATCGGAGATAGAGCCAATGGCATCTAGGTTATCCTTGAGCAAAGAGGAAGCACACTGGATAGACAGATAGATCAACCGGGGAAGAAGTGATCTCCTCTCAAGCACTTTCCATGCATTTGCTTCCCTCTCCTTAATTTGTTCTTGCTGCCAGCGGACGTAAACAAATTAGAAATATTTAGATGACATCGAAGTCCAAAACACTAAACCACAAGTTAGCAGATAAGAATCCTATGGGAACAAATTTATGCAATCAACATGAATCTTAAAACTAAAAAAAATTATGCATGCAAACATAAGGAAACATGACTTATCATACTCAGTAATCTTAGGTTCTTCCAACTTACTAATTAAGAAATCATTACTGCAAATGACATGCATATAAACAACAGATTCAGAAGTCACAAAGACAGAAGCATGTCTAGCCAGATCTGATTGTACACACCTCTTACTAAAAATTAAATCATTACTGCAAATGACATGCATATAAACAACAGATTCAGAAGTCAAAAAGACAGAAGGATGTCTAGCCAGATCTAACTGTACACACCTCTTAAGGAGTATTCTGGTTTCTATAACAGACTTAAATTTTATATGGATGCACATTTTTTAATCCAGATCAATCAAATATATAACATCTGGAACTTTTGTGATAAACCAAGGCCACTAAATGCAGGTAAGGAGCAGGGTAGATCCGGGATCTAAGCTCCATCAATCCTAGCTGCAGGCACTACATGGTGTGTGTGGCATCTAGACCTGTTCATGGGCCGGGTGGCCCGACGGGCCGGCCCGACCCCCGGACGGGCTTGAATATGCTTATAGGCCCGCGGGCTTAAATTCGGGCCAAAAAGCCCGACCTACAATAAATTCGAGCCGGGCTCCGGTTTTGTCAAAATAGCCCGGCCCAAGCCCGGCCCGGCCCGACCTAATATTAAACTTAAAATTAGTTATGTGATTATGTCCATTTGAATAATTTTTTTGATTTAAGAATGTAAAATTGTGTTCTAAAATATAAAAGAAAGGGAAAAATATCAATAGAAAAAAAATACTATCTGAATTTTTAATTCTAATTTGAATAGGGAAAATCGTTTTTTTTTTTCAATTAAGTCGGGCTTCGGGCTCGGGCTCGGGTTTCGGGCTTTTTACCAAGGTCGGGCTCAGGCCCAAGTTATAGGCCCGTTGGTCGGGCCGGGCTCGGGCTCGGGCCTAGTATATTTTCATTAGTGACAAGTGAAAGCCCGGCCCGGCCCGGCCCATGAACAGGTCTAGTGGCATCTAATTAAGTTCTTCCAACTAAGAAAAGTGTAGAATTTGAACATCATAGAGAAAAGTAGCAAAGTACATGCATATAGAACCAATAGAAAAAACAGAAATCATTACATACATGCAGACAGACAGAAAAGTAAAACTCAGTAAACATTACCTAGAAAGAACCATGCTACACTCAAAACTGGGGAAACATTCTACATGCTTCTCATTTTAATTGGCAAATGCATTCTATTGAGCTTGTGAAAGCAAATATCATCATTACAAGATGGTTATTTCATGTTCCACATGTTTTGCATCCAATTGACTGAATTAGCAGAACAAAAATTCAAGAAAATCCGTCTACACAGAAGCAGGTAGGTACAGTTTATGTGCCTATTGCATTAATGCAATATCCCAAATGCAAGAAAGTTATCCAACACCTGTTGATCTTCCATGAAAGTAAATCACCTATACCACACAAAAAAGTGCATGCATGCAAAAATAAAAGTTGTATGAATCTCTCGTACAATATCAACACAATCATTAAGGTGGTACTATGGCTCAATAAAGCGTTGAGTGTTTCAATCTACTGGGCCCCACTGTGGTGTAGTTGCAGTCACACCACATTCTATCAAGGCATTCTGCACTGTGATGTGGATGCTTTGACAAACAAAATTTTCAACAAAATACCTCAGTCAGTTATCGCAACAAGACTTTACAATAATGATTGCATCTACTATGGTGTGGATCAGTGCATGAGATTTAAATGTGCACAAGAAATTGTGATATAACCCAGTCCAATCCACACTATAGTGTAGACTGAACTTAGATACACCTCAAATGAACAATTTTTACACCATCACATGGATTGGAACCTGTTAAAATAATCTAGTTGCTGATGCTAGGGTCTGTTTGGCTAATTAAAGTGTTTTTTATTTCGTTTTTTTCTTTCTGTTATGTCTGTTATTGTACTCAGGGGCACAAGGGTCTTTTCCCTTGTTATTTCTGCCGCCTTATATATATTAAAATAAAGGCTGGCGCCGCCAGCACTGTTACATTGCAAAACCCTTCTCCTTCTCTCCTCTCTTCTCTTCTCTTCTTCTCCTCTTCTCTTCTCTTCTACTCCTCTTATTTCTGGCCGGCCATACTGTCAAGATGGTATCAGAGCGGGAATACTGATTAAAGAGAGCAGATCGAACAGACTTGCTGAACCTGGGCGGAACAGAAATCTGATTTTGGACTGAAAAAACAGCTCTACAACTGGTACAGTTCTCCCTGTTTTCTCTTCTTCACCCTCCTTGGTCATGTGCCAAGTGAACCCTATGAGTTTGGGCGGCTGAATGCTGTCGAATCTGTATACCCCTGTTTTTCTTGGATCATGTGATCCTGATCATGTGTTAAGACAACTGTAGGTCAAKGATGACCTGTCTTCTCAATGATTTGATTTGACTATAAGTAATAAGGATCTCTCCTGTTGATTAGTGGCGGTTAGACATTCTAGAATTCTGGTAGGTTGGGACTGTTAAAACTATACAGGTCTGAAATCTGCCGAATACTACCTCTGTTTTGTCCTGAATTTAGTACTGTTTGTGCTCAACCTGGTCGTTAAACCCAAGTGTGTGGGTGTGGACTGAGTGGAGCATTGTTTTGTGGAGTAAGGAGGGGTCCTAAGTCCGGTGTTTGGGACTGATT